TGCAGTCAATTTTCTTCCCATGATATGCATCACTTTTGTCCTGAAGCCTTTCTTTTATAATGATAGTAGGTGCGACACTTAGAAAAGTCATTGTAATTGCTCTTAGATCATTTCGAATACAAATTACCCACTTGTACTGCAGAATCAAGAAAGACAAGGTGCAAAGACAGCTCCTTCTGAACTTCATCTTTCTCGAACACTTGAGAAAGATGTCTTGAAGACATTGAAGATGTCTTCTGTTAACAGCATTTCAGTTTTCATTTATTTATTTATTTGTGTATTTTTACCCACCCTATTATACATTTCTCTCTAAGGTCTAAGGTCCTGGAGCAAGAGGAAAGTAACCAGTTAATACATCACAGCAAATTCTGTCTCTAATCTTCCTGGTTCTGTTGGTAATTCGGTTTGCTCCATCACGCTTACTGCCCTGATTTGGCTTTCATTTTGTGTTTTTTGTCTGTCCATTTCCCCTTAACACTTAGTATCTCTACAGAGTCTTTGCATCACAATGTTGACCTGTAACAATACAATGCTGATTTTAGTCAAAACTGGAGTATGTGATGTTGAAATGTTCTGAAGGTACTCAGATAACGCTGATGTCAGTGGCAGGAAAGTGAATCCATCCAAAATATCAAGTCTATTCAATTGTTGGCATTCCTTGGGGGTTTTTGTTTGTTTGTTTGTTTGACTGGTTTGGTTTGGTTTCTTTTTTTGTTTTCATTTTGTGCTAGGCATTTGTTCACTTTAGTTTGTTCTTCTCTGTCAGTGATTTACAGGAGAATATAGAAAACTATATAAAATACTAGAAGGAGTTAATTTGTTAAATGCTTTTAAAATTTTCTTTAAAAGAGAAATAAGTTTGATACAGATGAATTACTCTTTTGTTGAATTTTAACCTAATGTAATCTTAATCCCTATAGGCATTCAGCTTTGGAAAGAGTCCTTTATAATAATAACTGTGGCAAACTAAGAAATAATTTTCCAGATTACTGTATTTTTCTTCTTAATTACCATGACAAAAATAAAAGAGAAACTACTAATGAAAGTAGACATAGCGGAGCACTAGATTCCTTCAAAGTGATGTATAGTAGTTATGCTGTCCGAATTCAATTATCGGTAAAGACTATTCGTGCACAGATTGTGGCTCCTGTGCTTGTCTCTGATAATTTAGCTGCAATCTGATGCAGCAATAATGATTTTGTTTGTTTCCTTGTTCCATCTGAAGTGTGCGCCGTTCCCGTAGGAGTCCTTTCTCTTCACAAACTGAACAGTTATTTGATCATTGACACCGCTGCTGATTTGTGGAGTAACAGGATGATTAAGTATATTGGCAGAGTGCCTCACTTACCGATAGGCAACAAACCTTTTGTCTCTTTTCTTTTTTATGATTTTTCATCTCTTTCTTTCATACTCCACTGAGCTCATATTAGCAGCTGACCTGCAATGTGGAAATGTAGGAATGTTCATGATGGCTTTAGGCAAACAAAAGAATTATCACTATACGCAAGAGTGAATCAATTTTTCCATTTTCTGAGAGAATAAAATAGCAGTTTTGAGGCATCTCAATTTGAGTATTCCTGAAATACACAGAGCACAGCATAATTGCTTGCAGAGACTTGTCCTAATTGGCAGTTTAAGGAAAGAGACACAGACAGTTCCTACCACTTGCGAAATGGAAAGTTCTCCGGAGACTGTTGAAACAATTAATAGACATTTCTGACTTTCTGCCTAAGGTGCTTGACTTGAAACAGAGCCAAAATGATAGCGATTTGCCATGAGGAGCCTGTGAACTTTTCCAAAGCAGATGGCATTCTCGCCACTCTTTTCTACTTTCAGAAAAGGGAGCTGGGGGGGGAAGAGGAATGTGTAGGGGAGAGGAGAGATTTCGCGCATTCTTTTCTGTCTTTCGCCTATTGTTTTATTTATGTGTTTGCATATGTGCATCTGTAAAACATTATAGCTGGAACTTTCTCCGTATGAAAACTTGGAAGCTGTATTATTGACTTTTATGATCAAATTAATTGGTACATTACATATACTGAAGACTTGGATGTCATTTATTCAGTGAAGTGATATATATTTTCTTTTTTTTTTTTCATACTGAATTATTTCAGTGTTATTCATACAACATCTTTTGCTCTCTCCAAGGTTAAAGAATATATATTCTTAATTTATTTCCTAACTCCACCTGTTTCTTTTAGGCTTTTGTTTTGAAATAGATAATGAAAATGTAACAACCAAGAAGTCTGTTTTAAGCCTGTCTTTCTTAAGTGTTTCCTCTTGGTAGCTAAAAAGTTCAAAGGAAAGTGTTCACGGAGGTTTTAATATGGAGGTTTTTATAATACAGTGAAAGTTCAATAAAATCATTTTCGATCATTTTAGATCCTCTCTGGTATGGAGCAGACATAAATAATTAAAAACAAACAAACCAACAAAAAAACAACAAACCATCCCACTGATTCCTCATGTAATCCACTGAAAAGTCTAAATCTGGGATGTACTTTTACAATGAACAGCGGCATCTCTCAATATGCTGCCTGCTAGCTTGAACTCGCTCCTCAACCAGACAGGCTCACTATATTCTCAAGACAACTTCACTGTAAGCTTGAACTCTCACGCTGGCAGTCCTCATATAATCGCAGCAGATACACTGGCAACCTTCCCTGGGAGAAGCATAGAAAACACAGGGATGGGAGTTTTTAAGTGCAAAGAATTATTGCTTTGGGTACACCCAGCTGCAGGTGACAGCATATTTAACTGGCAGGTATATGCATGGTTACTAAAAAAGGAAACTCAAAAAGATTACTTTGGGTAAAAGAAAGATATTTTTTGTTTCAGCAGATACTTTCAATTAAAATCACTGATCCTTAAGATTTTGTTTTGTTTTATATCTCATGATCCCATACACTGTTTCTGGAGAAGTTGGTGGAGAAGCATAGATAGAATAAGATCAGTCCAGAATCCTGCTACCATTTGTTTATATTCTCTCACCTTAGAGCTATTCTTTTCTTTGCTGCAGAAAATGATGGCACATTTACATTTTAGACATACTACATTATTGTGCTCAATGATGTTGAGAATCCTACATCCCATTTACCTGACTTGAAAGCTTATTGTAACCATTATCCCTGTTGTCTACAGCAAAGTCCAGCCAGATAGTTTTTGGTATGCATCTTTACTACAGAGGAGAAATAATAAAATAATATTCTTCAAATGCTGTTTTCTTACCCTTTTTCCCAATTTCCCCTGAGTCACATTACCTGAAATGAATTTGTACTCCAAATATCACAACATTGCAGCCTTTGCCTGTCCCTATTTCTGCCGTTGTTATCATAAATTCGTTTTGTTTTGCTGCTCAGGGGCACCTGTCTATAGTATAAACAGATACTAGCTTTTTAAAATGAGCACCTGAACTGTGATAAGTAGAGGCCATATACAGAGGTTATGCATGATGTGCTGGTAGTGAGCGTGCTTTCCTTTTTCTAATACTTCATGTCATGGAATTGTTTTTTACTTTTTCTGTTTCTGGAAGAACACTGCTGTGATCTAACTGTTCATTAAGGTGCGAGGTAACTGTTCTTTAAGGTTTTGTCAAAAGAGAAAGGTCACCATGATCTGAAAATGCTAAGGCATCTGAGTTTCTGAAATATTTGAAACATTTCAAAGTCCAAGGGGTTCCAGAACTTTGCCTTCACCTTCCCAGTGTGAAGGCATGATAAGCATCCATGCCATAAAATGCTGAAAGGAGGAAAATGCTCTGCTTCAGTAAATTTCCTTCCGCATATCAGTACAAGGAATGTGAATTAGGACTGTATAAAAAATCAAGAGAAGAGTTCAAAATACTAGAAGGAGTGCATGCCTAATAGATGGCCCGTTTCAAAGCAGACTGTGCTTGGTCAACCTGCACATCCTGTAGGTGTCAGATTTGGGAATAACCATGGATTTTAAAAACACAACATCACAGTTTTCATCATGTTTGCATTTTTCTAGCTTCTGGAGCTAACAGTAGAATGAAGTGGATAGTATAGTTAATGTTTCATTCCTTCAGATGCTGGGAACCCCAGGTTGTACAGCCATGAATGGACCTCCTGGTCAGGGCATGGCACACTGTGCAGACCCCATCCACGAAGAGGTTCACTGGCATGATAGTATTTAGAGCTCTTAGGGGATTTTCATAGAAGTAAACAACTCTGTTCATCACTTCCACTGTCAAAAAAAAAAAAAAAAAAAAAAAAAAAAAAAAAAAAAAGGTGGGGTGGATATTCATGTAAGAACATGTTGCTTCACTTTAAGATAAAGACATGTCAGTGGTGTCATCAGGTGCCACATGGAAGGTGTATACATGTTCCTCTGTTATGACTAGCTGCTGAGTTTATCCTATAGGCAAGTGGTGTGTGCAGCATGGCACTGCACTGGCCTGCACCTCCTCAGGTCAACCGGTATGTGAATTACTAACTCCTTGATGTACAGTGCTGTTCCAGTTAGGTGGAAGGTATCAAAAATCAAATGTATAGTTGTCTCGTGTTTTTTTTTTTTCTTGAACAAGTTGGCAATCACAAGAGAAATTATAAAATCATTTTCCAGATTTTTTAACTGATTAATTCTTATGATCACAGCAATGAAATTCTCAGACATCTTGAACTTATTTAGTAGTATATATTTTGTAATATAAATGTTGTTTTAGCAGCGAACAAACAACATTAGATGTTGTATAGCAAATGCTGATGCAAAGCAAGTTTTCCAAAGGCTTGGGCTGTAAAACGTAACCAGGTGTGCTAGGATTCAAGTCAATTCATCAATTAATTTCTCTGCCACCATGAAAAATTAGTGTGGATTTCCAAATCAAGTATTTGCCTGGCATCATAAACGCAATTATTTCCTCTCTTTTGAGTTTACATCCACATGCTTCTGTTACACCCTTACTCTGTAACCTCAGATGCCTTGCTATCTTGGATGCATTTCTCACTTTCTTCTTCATGCTCTCCCATGTGTCTTTACAGTGGTCAGTGTATATCCGCGCTGCTGTCCGCAAAGAAAAAGGACTGCCAATCCTGGTAGAACTGCTTCGAATAGACAATGACCGGGTGGTGTGTGCAGTAGCTACAGCTTTACGAAACATGGCCTTAGATGTCAGAAATAAGGAGTTAATAGGTATGTTCTTTCCAATCTGTCTCTATTTTCTGTACTTTTTTTTTTTTTTTTTTTTTTTTTACCTTACAGCAGGATAAGCAAAATGAAAGCAATTATTCTCACATTTCTAACATAATTTCTTTAATTCTTTCTCTAATGTGTTATATTCACATTTTATGTGACAGCTTAATGCTATATTGCAAGGAATTGTTAAATTAATTAAACATCATGCAACACTTTATGATTTGTCATACTGTAATCTCCAGAAGAAGAATAATGGCTTTGTTCTGCTTTAGCACTTCATTCATAGGCTGACAGTAGCACTTGCAATTTCCAGATCAAGAATATGAGCAGAGCAGCCACCCCGATCCTCAGATTCTCTATTGCAAGTAATATTATGAAGTGTCAAATCATGGACTTTAAAGATGTTTCCAGGAATTTACTGGGCATATTAGTATCTCCAGCAAGAGAACTGGGAGATACTTAATTTTCAAACATGTGCAGTATAGGAAGAAAACAATTTACATAAATCATTGTTGTTTCTGAATTCTGATAGTATGGTAAGCAGTCTTCTTGAGTTTTCTGGTATTTTTATCATTATTATTTTTATTATTATTAATATTATTATTTTGTTTATTTGTGTTGTTGTTTTGGCTTGGTTTTAGCTGAAATTCATTCAAATACTATGAATCATCGAATTTCTATTTTCATGTTCGGTCTTTGAAAAATAATCACTTTATTGGGCTTGCATTACTTCAACAGTTCGTGACAAAATTATTTCTACTTCCACTGTACATTAGGGGTATATTTTTCTTCATTTTTTGCTAGCTACTTAATTTGTTATCATTACAGCATACTTATCCTCCTCTGCCTTTAATTACAGAATTCCACAAATAGAAACTTTGATCATAATGCTTTATTATTTATATTCAGTGCTATCTCAGGGTTAGTGCTTCATTACAGCAGTGCTCTGCAACTTATTAAAACAAGGCAATCACTCTCCTGACATATTTTACAAACTAGTGACAACTTCACTGACAAAACGTTGTAAAGCAAATAGAGGTAGAGACTGGTGAATAGTGTAAACCTGCTAGGATTACCCACGAATTGAACTCAAGACTGATGCTTTCTTTGCATGCCAGAGCACCCTACTTGGTCAGCTTTTGCTCATGTTACAGTTGATAAAATTGGCATGAAATTAGAGTTGTTTGATGTACTGTTTTCAGCCTTCAGGAAGCAAGATACTGTACGTGTGTGGGGTTTTTTTATGTGTGTGTGTTTGTTTTTTCTGTTGTTTTCTAGGAATTTTAAAGTAGAAATCATTGCTGACGCCAGTATATCAGCCCATCTAATCTGGATGAATAACTGATGATCTTTTTATTTTGTCTCATGATCCCACCTCCACTTTCAGTCTTCAGCATGTCATAGTCTCTATTCAACATCTTAGTCTTTTTTTTATGGGACTTTCTCTATAGGGTTCACAAACCACATTCACTGTTTTTTTTCTGTAATCTCTTATTTACTTATTGACATTGCACAAAATATTTAACAGTCAAATTTAATGAGTGTAAACATGGTTTGTAATGCTATGAATTAGGCTTTGGTTAGCTTTCCTGTACTGTGATTTTCATTTTATAATTGAATATTTTTTATTTCCTTTCTGAATATTCAAATTTCATTTAGGAATGTAAAGCTAAGCATGTGAAAATAGAGCTGTCTTTTAATATGACATGCCATACAAAATACTCGTCAAATTATGGATAATAAGATTGCATAGCTTCTGAATGTTAATGTTTTATGGAATATTCAGAGAACATGTGATGTAAACAAAGAAAAATTTTAAAAAGACAGAAAAAGTCTGTTGACAATAGTCACCTAATAGTTTTATTTATCTTGTCAGACCGTTATGACTGCAGTGCTGCTTAGAGTTAAATTATTTGTGGGGTAATTCTGGGGAATTGTACTTTATTATTGCAAAACACATTTGTTGCAGTTTAGAAAAAAGTGCAAACATGCCAATACAATAGGGAAGGTATGACTACAGTTCCTGAACCATTTGAGCTATGATCTTTGTATGTTTATTTCTTTGGCTTTTATCACTGCACTTCAAAGAAAGAGTAATAATGGTCACTATTTCTCTTGTTCACGATTATTTTATAGTGAATGGGTCACATCATAGATCTGATTTTCATAAATGCTGAACATCTGCAGTTGTCAAGGATTTCAACTCATTGTAGGCAGTCTGGTTCTGTGAATATTGAAATTCCACATGTTCTGAGATACCTTCACTGTTGCTATGGAAAGGAGGGCTCAAGAAGGGCTTGTTAGCGTTCATCACTTGAGCTCTTTCTAACTAAGTAGAATCAGCATCCTGTTTATCGTGCCTCTTTGAAGTTTCAGTTTGTGCATCATATTCTTGCAGTGACAAACTCTACCTCACAGACTGTGATTTTCGCCTTAGGATAACCTTTTTTAAAGGTTAATTGTCCATCTGTATACACAGTAAAGATTCTGTAGGTATAATCACGTTTCTTTTCAGTGGTGTTGTGGTTCCATTCCCAGCTGACAAATTTTTACTGATATATGCCACGGAATGTGATATTTCTTGCTGCTGCTGCCAAGCAGCCCATAAATCAGTGTTGAGGCATCTGGCAAACATATCAGAAAGATTGCTAAAATTCAGACTCACCTGTACCAAACTACAAAACAAACAAAATGACCACAAATTTCTTTCTAGACTTTGTAGAATTTACCAATCTATTTTGGTTTTGTCACAAATCTATCAGGTGTGTTGTTATATTGATAAAGTTTGGGGCCAGCTTTCTCTTAAACTTTTTCTCAGCCATCCCCATATAGCATTTTGTTGTTGTTGTTTGTTTGTTTGTTTTATAGTGATTTTTTCTTCCTGGGTTTCATTTAGGACATGCTCTCTGTCCTTAAAACGACCCTCATTTTTCTCCTTCTCCATCAGTTCTACATTGTGCCATGTGCTCTCTAGTTGAGGTTCAGACAGCGGGCAAATTCATCTTCTCCTCACCAAAATTAAACCACACTGAGATGAAGACATAGTAAGCTCAGCTTATCTCGTACTGATACTAGGTAATCCGGCACCTGTTTTTCCCTCCTTGGGCATACTGCCCAGTCATGTTCGGGTCATATTCATTTTCCACTTGCATTTCAGGACCATCATCTGTACAAAATAGCAGCTGTTCTATGTTGCTTCTCAACAGTGTGCCCCATGGGAAGGTTCATCAACGTTGTCTCTCTCTCAGCAGTGCCACAGCTGAGGGAAGTAGTGCTGAGGGCCTTGGGGATGTATGACAGTTGATATTGCCTGTTGTATGCTTTCAGTGCACAGTTTTGTGCTTCAGGTCTTTCTGTCAGCTTGTCCTTATCCTGACAGTGATTTCCAATGTGATTCTGGGCCAATGGTGATTGAGAGAAATATTGTACTATTATTTCAGCAGCCCTACTCATGCAATTTCTGTGGCCACTTGGGCTATATTTTTGTGGTTAAATAAAAGATGTTTTAAGAAACTAACAGTATTTTGGTCACTCGCCCTTGAAAAAAAGGAGGACAATTCCACCTAATGGTTTTTGTTGACTTACTGACCTATGCAGGAGCTATATATCCTTATTTATCTCTTCCTTTACAGTATGTGGAGAAGCCATGTATCTGTTCAGGTCTCTAGATTCTAGTGAGGGGATAAATTAAAGTGCTGCAGTAATTAAGACATCACTTTTGTGGATATCATTGCAAAATCATTATTCAAATAAGTGAAGTTAGTGGTAAAAGTTCAGTTGCCTTCACAAAGTTTTGAATCAAGTCTTGAGACAGGGCATGCAAAGGAGGGTTATTTTTTAATAATTGTTCTGGGCTATAAGGTGTCAGTACTGAATTATTCTCAATTCCCACTCATCTGTTGGTGATACAGTTAGTTATAAAGATAGTGTATCAATTAAATTGTTGCTCAGCTTGTGTTGGAACCTGCTTAGTCTTGCTAGGTGTCTAAAAGTTTTGTATCCCATGTAATATACATGAAATAGACTCCCTTACAGTTGGCAGACAAAGAGAAACTCTTAGAAAGTGATTGAACTAATATGATAAAATGGATCTCACCCTGTATTACTGCCCCGCCATTGTGAGAAATTAAAAAAAAAAAGGGGAATGTGTAAATTGCCGCTGAGCCATCTCATGAGCAGTGTATATGTATTTGAGTGTCTGAAGTAGACAGTGTTTGGTAGAAAGTTTTATTGCTAAATTGGAGAAAGTTTGGTTGAAATATGTATCAGGAGTTCACAACTCTAATGAATTGTTAGACTCATAGAATAATTCAGGTTAGAAGGAACTTCAGGAGGTCATCCAGCCCAGCCTTGTACTCAGAGCAGGGTCAGGTATGTTATTTCAAAGTGTTATATTGATTCACATTTGGAAAGATTTGCTTTCAGCTGCTGGCTGAAAACATGTCAAAAACAAGCATTTGCATTCTAACAGCAGAATGTGACTTGTGGAGCATAAATAGCTATGTGAGTTCCTACTATCCTAGAACATGGCCACTTTTCAAAACCATAACTTTGTTTCTGTATCAGTAATAAATCCAAGTGGAGATGGTATTTACTTTTTTAGTTACAAGAACAAAAGCTATAAAAATTCTAAGCCCTAGTAATGTATATTGATAGAGAATACAGTGATGGACTGGAAGGTGATTATATAAAATATGCAGTTTTCATCTCACGTAGAGTGTATACACACAGCTTTCTTTCCTTTTTAAATGTGAACACTTGAATTTGTCACATATACATCTGCAAGAATCTGAGTCACTGATTTTTTATTGAATTTTTAATTGACTTATAAAGCAGCTTAGTCACTGAAATGTTAAATTGACGTAAATTCACAATGCATAAGATGCCAGAAGATGTTAATCACAAACTAGACATTTTTTCAGAAGTTGAAGAAAGAATATATACCGCTATTTGTTCAATGTGTGTTCTTCTTTATTGCACTTCATTTTCTATGTTTA